TGTCTTTTTTTTTAAATGGTAAAAAAGACGTTATAGCCCATTAGGGCTAGGCACTTTTCAAGTGGTCCAAATCAATCACTTCAGTGCTCAGTATGAACAATTAATAAAACAGTTCGTGATCTTCCAGGAGCAAAGCCAGTTGGAGCCGAGGGTAATATTTTAAGGAATCTTTGCTGATTGAAGGGTGCGAATGATGAAAAGCTCATTGCTTCAGACTGTTAACTGAAGAGGAGCTGATGAAGGATCTGTGAACACCGTTACACCTGTGATTTGAGCCAGTCTGAAATGGTCATCTTTAGGAAGTGGTACGCCTGCCCACATTTGTCTTAGTCGGTAGACTGATGGGAATTGACGTGATATCATTTCATCTAAGTAGATGCTTAATATGACACCTTAATACGGAGCGTGGGGTTTTAAGTGCAATAGGTTCTTGGCTCCCTGAGGGAATATGACATGGTTATTTACTGTAAGTTAAAAATTGGGATTCACCATGGCAGACACTCATATTTGCTTCAGGGGAGGGGCCATATGAGAAATGCAATAGGGTCTTCCCTCCTCGGGGAAATCTGAAGTAATTATTGACTGTGAATTCTATGGGCAGGCTGAGGGGAGGAGCGGGAGCCACATAGGAAATATAACGTGGGTTTCCTATACTCAAGGACCGGACCACGCAGTGTAAGGTTTGCAAACGAGAAAACCTGACGCAGGACTGTAGACTTGGGGTTTGAGCTCATCGCTGTCACGTTCCTGTGGGGGATTGCCCTTGAAGCTGTTCGGAGCCTGAATTCGCTTTTAAAGGTCAGGCTGTGGGACCAGACAGCAGGGCTCCCAACTACCAATGATGGTTAATATTTGTACATGGTTGTGGGGAGAGGGAGACTCTTTCATGGCATGAGAAAAAGATGTGAAATGCAAACTTCAAATTGTCTATAAATAAAGTTTTATTGGAAAACAGCCAGGCTTGTTCCTTTTCCTATGACTGCCTCTGTGCTGTGTATGACAGAGGTAAACAGTTGTGACC